CCCACGCTAACTTCCAGACAACCGACCCACGCTAACTTCCAGACAACCAACCTACGCTAACTTCCAGACAATCGACCCACGCTAACTTCCAGACAATCAACCTACACTAACTCCCAGATTACTAACCTTTGCTAACGTCCAGACAACCAACCTACGCTAACTCCCAGACCACTAGCCTTCACTACCTATCAAGCATTCTAATATTTTCTTACCTTCATCAAGGAAAGAGTCAGTCAGACTTCCTCCAAGTTTCTTCAAAACTTGGATAGCTTGTAGGTTTCCAGAGCCTTTTAGTCGTACAACTGCATCAACAGCTAACTTAGCAAAAAAGTCTTTACTTTGTGAAAGGATCTTGGAGCTGAGGGTAGTTCTTGAAATGTTTATCAAATCTTCATAAAATTTTTCTTGGTTACCACTAAAAAAATTGGTTTTAAGAAAAATTATAGTAACGATCAAAAAAATTTAATACCAAAAGAAAAAGCAATCATTCAGATGACAGAAATGATAAAATATAATTAAGAAAATTATCAAGCTTTAATAATGAAATTATGACTAAGACACTTTATGTAGAGGTACAAGTTATTTTGAAGATTAAATTAACAATGCAAGAGTCGATACTTTTTTAAATTTACGCAGTACACACAGGATTTCCTGTCAAGGTTCCTATGACAGAACATTTCATATTTAGGCTACCATTTATGTTCTGAGATCAGGTATGATATTTAAATTATTTACAAAAAATGTTAGGCTGCACAAATTTCTGACAATCTTATAATTTAAAGTAAAACACATTTAGAAAATTGCAAATGTTAGTTATAAAAAAAAAAGCATACTTTTATTCTCATAGCAAGCTAGCATTGGTTGGAAAAAACTGACAAACCGTCAGTTGTTTTACATGGAAACATATTGATAGCTTTGATCCTACAGATAGGACGAATACACAAATTTATGTATATGTTTGGGTAAAAATGCTAAAATGATTGTGGCTGGTCAAAGAATATTAAGAACGGTAAGAATAAAGATGAAACCTGGAAATCAAACAATTATAGATCAAAGAACCAGGATACAGAAAGAGCATTCAAAATTAATTCAAATCTACAACACAAGCTTTATGTAACTTACAGGTTACCCAGAACCCATACTACAACACAAGCTTCATGTAACGTACAGGTTACCAAGAACCAATACTACAACACAAGTTTTATGTAACGTATAAGTCACCAAGAACCAATACTACAAAACAAGCTTTATGTAACGTATAAGTCACCAAGAACCAATACTACAACACAAGTTTTATGTAACGTACAGGTTACCCAGAACCAATACTACAACACAAGTTTTATGTAAC